ACAGCTATACTTTAATCATTGTTTTAAAAGCTAGTATGAGTGTAAGCCTGATCACCAGCTGCCAAGAGATATTAATGAAGTGCATTTTGATTGAGTGTCGTACATCCAAAACTGAAAGCAATCACAGTAGCCAACCAGAACAAAGGAACATATCATGAGCCAATGAAGGATCAAAGTATAAATAAAGAAACTGACCAAAGCAGGAAAAACCTTACCTTGTAAATTTCTTCAAGTAACATTTCAGCTGCCTGTTTGCCAAGATCCTCAGGGACAACTGGCTGACCCTCCCCTACTGGGGTAGATGATGTCTGAACACTTAGCATGGCACCAGTTGTTGATTCTGCAACTAATGAGATCCCAAACCCTGGTGACCTGGAGGAAGACATTTTTAATCATAATTATCATTAATCTTATGACTAATGGTGTACCATGCTTATGACAAAAGAACACATTGCATCTCTGGTTTTAAGAGACTCTGAAAAGCTTGCTTATCGTAATATCACCAGCACAACAGAAGTGCACTGACTCAGTTGCATTAGCAAATCTGGGCGCGAGATCTAGCAAGCGTTATAACTTTGCCTTCTTGGACAAGACTCTTTACTCTCACAGTTCCTCTCTCTGCTCAGGAGTATGAATGGGTACTGATAACTTCTTAAGTAAATCTAAAAAAATGCCAAGGGCAATTTACAATGGACGGTCACCCCTTACAGGGGAGGGGGAGGAGTAGTAAAACTTCTTATAAATTTTGCCACTTTGGAAATTAAGAAATATGGTTGTCGTCTTCTCATGAGCACAGAACAAAGAAAAAATTCTGAGTCCCCATGAGGAATTGAACCTCAAACCTTCAGATTCCACACTCCCATGCTCTACCACTGAGCCACAGAGACTCTAAGGCCCATTATGAATTTCATATATGACACATATCCTGCACTCTGCTAGGATCAGCAATGTTGATAGCACCACATTTTGTAAATAGAAGAAGAAACATGGTAAGCTTTATGCTCAGTAAGGAAATATAGAAAGATAATTTTTTGTCTTGCTATGGATATTTACTGCATGAATTGTGGTGAAACATGCTGATTCCCTGGTAAAAAAGTTAAAGGTTTGTTGTAAAATGACATACTTTCCAGATTGACCTCCTTTGCAGTGATCTGTATAAATGTAGATATCGGACACAAACTGGTTCAATACACCACGCACTGCGTCAACCACCCTATTACAAATAGCTGGAGAAACTCTCATAGCATACCTGTTTAAGGTTTGGTTAAGGAAAATCAACTTTTTTCAAAAAAAAAAAAAAATAGTGGTCTATGTGTAATGGTCTCTGTAACAGCAAAAATGTTATCACAAAAACTTGAAATATCTTTTATTGAGACAGCAACAATACTAGTCGTAGAAGTAGTAGGTTGAAGCTAATAACATAAATTATTTAAGAGAACTGTGCCAAGAGCAACTTTTGGTAAACTGACTTAAAAGTGATAACACATAAAAGAAACTGGCTTTAAATACAAGAGGACTATGAAATAACATGCAGTATGGAAATGTGAGAAAAGGTGTGCCTGACAAGGAAAAACGCTAACAAATTTAACAAAAAACACTTACAAGGGGGTATGAAAAAATATAAAGAATGAAATAAGTCCAATACAAATTACATGAAAAATAATTAGCAAGCACTTTGATCTTGCAGTCCCTGTAATATAGCTATAACACTTATACCAAGGGGAAAAGTAAAGGATACACAAGGCCTCTTATTCTTTTTATCTTACCAGGATCTGTGAATTGTAATGGCCGCAAGTTTCTCCTCACAGGACAAGAGAATACCACCTCCCCTCCTCCCTCTGGAGGTGCTCCCCTTTTCACAATCTGTGACAAAAAAAGTCAATGAAATGATAATACATATATTTCATCATGTTTTGAACAGCCATGTAAATAAATTGCAACAAATTAAAGAAATTGATGAAAAGGAAAGGAGTTCAAATCCAATGGGATTGTCTTGGACATCAACTAAACAGAAAAAAGCACTTTCACAGTACTATCTAACTCAATATTAATTATTCATGTACTTCATCTTTGTCTTCCTCTTTGATCTAAGCCATTTTAGTTAAGTCTGGTTTAGTGAATAACTTTTTATCCTAAATTAAGGGGCACTATATGAGGTATCTAGATGTGCCCCTCTCCTCTCTGCTTTAATATTTAAATGTACAGAATTAGAATTGCTTAGTTATTATGGTGACCTTGTTGATTACAACTTAACTGACTACTTCATGGAGTAGAGATATATTCAATCATGTTGAAAGGGGCAGCTGAGTCATATTATTTAACTTTCTTTCCAGCCAAGTTCACTGACAGCAAAATTACTGCATAACTCAATCTTTTGCATGTGTTGAGATCCTACTTGGAAAATCATTAATAATAATGATAATTAAATCCATTAATACTAGCTAATGATACCTTTATAACTGGGCCTTCATCATCCACCACAAACTTCTTTACCAGAGGCAGAGTAACTGTTTTAATGATATCAACCTAAAATAACATCATACAGCAATCATTAAATTCTAAGAAAAACACATTTCTCAGAAGTAATCTAATTATGCACCCTTAGACACACTCATTTTCAGTCTTGTTTTTGTCTGCCCCATTAAGTCATATTTGTTTACAAATTCCATTTTAAAAATCTGGCATTTTTGTTTTCATCAAAATACTATGCAACTTTTTTTTCAATTTTCCTCACTTGAAGAAAAAAGGAATTTTAAGTCAACCTACATTCTTTGTACTTACTGGTAAGTGTTGCCCACTAAATTTCAATATGGTGATATAGAAAAACATAAATTTTTAGGTTGATTTACATGTGGTTTTTTTTATTCAAAAAAACTGAAATATAAAACTGGAAGTTTGATGCTTCTTATACAGGGAAGAAAAATGATATTGGATATGAAATGAGAGTTTTTACAAGACAGAGAGAAACAGAGAAAAATCAACACAAAATTTGAATTACACAGATTTGGTCTTTAGTGTATTTAGCCCTTTATAACCTAAGGTCAGTATCCATATTTGCCATACTCTTTGATTCTCTACACATTTCCTTTGGTGGTGACAAGAAGAATTTGTGTAACAATCAAAGCTTCTTATGTTGGTGATCATTTCCAATATTCTCATGATCTTCATGAATGATACAGCAGTGTTAATGTAAGGAGAAGTTAGAAGCTCATCACTCTTAGGGCTGAAAGGGTTCATTCCCTGCAAGAAACAATTATGATAAAATATTTCTGGCTTACTGTTGGATCATGTCTGTCATTTTTTATTCCTTTTAGAGTAAATCTGATAGGCTTCTTGCAAAATAGTGCCAGCAGCATCACAGCTTCAAGGTAATAACCAATAGATCTTTAAGGATTACAGTCGTGTTCAATGGTTCCTCTGGTGAACAGGCCAGATTTATAAAACAGCATTGTACCTTTGGAAAAGGAAACAAAATAACCAAACATAAGGATAAGATAGCTTTTATGATGAGGCCCCATCAGGATGGAGGGAGGGGAAGGGGTCCAAGTGTCCCCTATAGTACTAATGTTTGGCCTAAATATCCTGTATCCCTTTAATTCCTGTGGTTTCTATCCCTACAATTCAGGCTTATATCCCGGAATATTCATTTTAAATATCCCATTAGATTTTTCTGGAGTATCCCATATCCCTATAATCTTTTAGCAAAATATTCCCTATCCCGATAACCCCTCATAGGGTCTCTATAATTGACATTGCCTGGCCGGGCAGTGCTATCATTAATTAAAATCGTATAAACAAATAAAAACAATTTTCTGATAGATGATCTGAAGACTTACCTGTTTCATTAATTTCTATTCGTGATCGGTTTGTTACCTTATCCAGGAGCCGTATAAAACTTGCTTCAAAATCTTTAAAGGGTTACATAGAGAACAGAAATCCTCAAATTAGACGGCAAAAGACAAACCATATTTTATGCACAGCTGAAGTTAGCAGCTGAAAAGGCTGTGATTTCTATAATCAGTTCGATAACGGACGCACCTTTCAGCCCAGGATCGTCTTCAACAGCTCTTATGTTTTTCATTTTCACCGATTTATCGCTAAGCGTCGCCAAAACAAGTCTTTGTCGGAAAAAATTACAACCTTCGCATGTCAAATCAGCCGCCATGTTGAAATACGCACGTGGGTGACCTTTCCCGTCATAATATATGACGTAGTCTTGTCCTCTGGGTGACGCTGCTGAACCAATAACTTTCGTTCTCGTTCAAGATGGTGGACAACGATTTGAAAGGTGAGTGGTAATGACATTCCAAATCAGCGAGTCTTGAGATCTTTCCTGCACTGATTCACTTTTAGATAACTACATACCAAATTCACGTTTCGTTGCATTTTAGATGGCGATCAAAAGTCATTTCTTGTCTTAGTGGTTGATAATAGTGGAAACGAAGCAATCGTCCAATTTACTTTTTAACATTTACATTTACATATATCATCTTACAACATCTCTAACAGACATATTCGCAAGCTCCTAACTAATAACTAAAGCACCACAACTAGGAAATATTAAAATAGGAAAAAAATATATATATATATAAATAGATAAATAAATCGAAAAGGGTAAACATCACACTGAAAAAATGTAGTCAGATATGATGGCTTTAAATTTTGAAATTGAATCCAATGTTAAATAATCAGGTGGCAGGCTATTCCAGTCAATGATAGTTCTCGGCCAGAAGCTGTATTTGTACGTGTCACGTGGATGAGATGAACTGGTTTTTAGGGAAGACTGATGATGTACATATCTATAGCGGTCTGGTTGGTAACACATTTGTACATCAGTGTCAGTCTAGCTACTTGTCTTCTTTTTTCGAGAGATGGCCAATTAAGTTGCTTCAGAGCATTGGTTACGCATCCTTCCTCCCTCGTGTTAGTTCTTGTTACGAAGCGTGCAACCCTGCGCAGACGGCAAAAGTCACGGTGTAGAACTTTCTCGATTTTCTTCTAGGTATGACGATGACCTCGATGAGGTCGAAGAAGAAGACCACTTTGAAGATGTAGATGAATTAGAGGTAAGCTTTCTAGCAGAGATATTTGGCCACTGTTTTCTGAATTAGTTAATTTAGTGGATCTACCATACTTTTGACAATGCACGTGTAATTTCGGTTACATGTGAGTCAAACAACACTTACTGATTATCAGAATCAAGTAGGTGGAAATTTTTAGTTTGATACAGTAACGATACTCTCAGAGAGGGTATTAATGATCTTTGTCCAGACAATGTAGAATGAGGTCCCAGTTTGAAGACACTTACATTTCTTTCAAACTCAGAAAACCATCGTGTCTGGAATAAATTACTGTGTCATGACCAATCATTTGTGTGATCAGGATATGTGGGCAAAGTTAAACATTAGGGCACAAACTTATCAGCGTTTACTGCATGAGGTTGAGATTTCTCACACCTGACTGACGGCTGGCTGCCATGTTTTCACTGATAGATCAAATTTGATAAAGTAACATTTGTGAAGTTCATGGTTTTCTGAGTTTCACAGTAATCAAGAGTGGTGAAAGAATTCTTTAAACCATGTGCATGCAGCTATTTTGCTTTCCTGGCTGAGGTTGCATCTAATATCCTCTATTGTGTTTTTTTTTTTTTTTTTTTTTTCCAGCCAACAGAAGACACTGAGAATATTGACATTTTGCCCACAGCAGGTATGGTTTGCAATAATTTTTAAACAGTTTTCTATAAAATCTCAGCTAAATAAAGTAATCCATTAGAACAAAACCAAAAACTCCAGAAGTTGTGGCCACTTGGCCTCAAAGAGTTAACCATGTTCATTATAAGACACAGGATGAGAAAATGTTTCTTGCATTTCATTTTATTCAAGTAGGGAAGTTACATGATCCTTCAAAGTTGCTACTACAACCCTTATAAGTGAACATTTATCAGTGAATATTGAATAATATTTAATAACAGTATCTGAACATTTTCATGGCTTAAATGTGATTTTAATTCCCTCTTTTTACGTCAATTTGCAGAAAAAAGCCAAGACCACCAACAAGAATCACCACACAATATATGACAAAATATGAGAGAGCAAGAGTATTAGGAACTAGAGCTCTACAGATAAGGTACTTGACCCTTTAACTCTCAGAAGTGATTAATATGTAAATTCTCCCTGTAATATCCATACATTATTCAGCAAACAGGTAATGAGAATACTCAAACTCATCAGGTAAAAGATACCACCTTGATTGAACACCAAATTGTTGTAATCAATTTACAAGGAAATTTGTTGCAGCTAGAGGGGAGAATTAACAATCAGATCTTAGGAGTTAAAGGGTTAATTAACTCAACAAATAAAGATTGTTAAAGCTCTAATGCCTAGGGTTGAGATCTTGAGTTATACCTTGACTACAGTCCATTTCAGTCCATTCTGGCAAGACCATTATTTTAGCAACTCATTTTGCTCTATTGTGTTTTTATAACCAGTATGGGTGCCCCTGTTATGGTGGAACTTGAAGATCAGACAGATCCTCTACAGATAGCCATGAAGGAACTCAAGTAAAAATTTTATTGAGTTTTAACAGGGTATTTAAGCCAAAACTTACAGCATTAGTAGTACAACAGCCAGCACGAAGTATTCTCAACAATGTAATCCAAAGAGGGTTTTTAATTATTTTTTCTTAGATCTTTGTTTCATGATAGTTGATGTGTGCCAAGAGGGAATAAACTCCCATGTAGAAATCAAGGGTTACTTATATATAGTAGGCAGCATAGCCAATGGGATTGCAGCATTTGTGATATAATGCATGCAGATTTATAATAATATTCATTAGACTATAAGACAAATGCAACTGGAAAAATTATTGGAGGAGTACATCAATTATTGAAGTTCCAAGCCTCTTAGCCCTTTAACTCCCAGAAGTGATGAACTTGTAACTTCTCCTTGTAATATATAAACATTGTCTGGCAAACAGGACATAAGAACATTCAAATTAATCAGGTGGAAGTTCTTATCTTGATCTAACACCAAATTCTTGTAACTTATATACAAGGAAATGTGTAATGGTTTGAGGGGAGAATTAACAATCAGATCTTGGAAGTTAAAGAGTTAATTCTTTTTCAATGTTGTTTGAGAGCAAGAAAAATCTCCATTATTATTAGTGATATCTTCCAGACAAAAGCAATGAAGACTGGGGGATAGATGAACTTATAGTCACAGAATAAAACTGCATTGGTGGTAGTTTTATATCAGGGTAACACTCAAATGGAGAAACAAAATTACCTGAAAAAAGGGTTTTTCTTTATCAAGTATTTCCATTATTCCTCTTATGTTGTGACATGCTATGCAATTATTCAATACCTGTACAGTCAAACATTTAATGTGAACTCCTGTTCAACTCCACTAAACCTTTAGAGTTTTGAACTTTAAAAAATGTTTGGCATCCAACACTTTTTTTTTATTTTAACAAAATATTTTCCTTAAACTGCATTTAATCAAAGGAAGGTTACATAAACCATTCATCATATCTTGATAACCAAATATAGAACTATTGTGCGATATTTGTCATAATTTCAAATAGAGGAATTTAGAATTGGATACCTTTTTTTTTTTCAATAGGCCATTCTTAAAAAAATTCATTTTCTAAAACAAACAATGTCCATCTTGAGGCCAGGGTCACTTTGGCTCCTTGTCAGCAGTATGGTCACCAAATAATGACCTCTGGGAGAATGGAATTTTGGGGCTGTCCTGGTGTACCAGTACACGGGGGAATTCCTATTGTTTTCATATCCATACATGGAGTTGTGACACAGTTCGTTAATGTTTCGTTCCTTTGTGTACCAGTACACGAGGACACAACTGGAATTTTATCCCAGAAATTGTGGGATTCTGACTTTCACTGTGCATGACTACATTCTCAAATAATGGCTTCCAGTTGACTCCTATGCTTGCTCAATGTAGAGCACACAGTCCTCTATGCCAGTGGAAGTAAAGAAGAACATAAATTACATTTGTGTATGTGAACTTGAAAATCATCGTAACTAATCCAAAGTGGAATTTTTAACTAGAAGAAAATACCTAAACTTTTTCCCAGTGTGCCATTCAGTGCTCCTAAATGTTTGGAAGTGTAAGATGAAGGAATAAGTGATGACCTTTGGGTAGCTTTTATGCTGTTTTCAGGTTCCCTCGTGTGGTGAATGGATTGCAAGCTAGTTGTGAAGATAGACTTAGAGCGAGGAGCTTCATCTTCTTTAACCCTGTAACCTTTAAGAGTGACTTGCACCTAATTTCTCCTTACAATATCAGCACTGAAAAACACATTCATGTCATGAGAATAAAGGAAATTATCACAAACCAATGAAACCCTTGATTATTAGACAAATTCTCTTTGTCAGCACCTTAGTAAATGTATAGAGAACAGTATGGAGAATATGAATGCTGATGTTTGGGTGTAAAGGGTTAAGAGAATTGGGCTCAGAGGAAAATGAGAACGAGAAAATGGGGCAACAGTATACTGTAAAACAATTGGTTTAGATTCAAGAGATGACCTCTTCTCCTGATACAACAGCTGATGATTGTACAGGTGACTGTACTCTAGCAGGGATGACTACAAAACAAAGAAAAACAGCAATGTTTTGAAACTCTTAATTTTTTTTTTTAATTTATAAAAATGCCCATTTTGTCACCTTAACATACAACACATATTAGACAACTTTTCTAACTTTTCCTTGATCTACTTAATGGTGAAAGCATGCCAAATGAGTTTCTTTTGAAAATGTGCTTTGTTATTATTTCAATTGAAAATAAAATTATTTAAAAACTATTGTACTAATTATTTGTTCCAAAATAACATAGGAATTCTTACTTGATGTGTTATATTTTGCAACATTTTAGGACTATTACTTGACCCTGAGTTTACTGAACACATCATAAGAATTAAACATCTACATCCTTCCTAAAGATCAACAGAAACGGTGAAGCATTGATAGACTATAAATGCTAACATAATACATATGACCATCGACTATTATTAACCTCTTTGATGCCATCAAAACAATAAGTTATTAACCTGTGATATGCAGAACGATCATGAGACCTGTTTGAGCCAGAAATCAGTTTATTGACTACAATGACAACAAATTGCGGCCCAAAATTAGTGTAAAGGTACAAACGTGTTGACATGAAGGGAAAACAAAGTAGCACAAATAGTATTATCCTGAGGAAACTAAGGGTGTTGCCTATAAAAGCCGGCGACTGTAATGTCAGCTACCTGAATCTGATCAAGCAACCATCCATTGTGGTGACTGTTGTCATCGTCACTTTTAAGGCTTTGAAGCCAATTTACTTCCAGTTGACAATTCTCTTGCACATCCCTTCCTTTTTTGTAAAGCCTAAAACAGGTCTATTTACATTGGCAGATCCAGACCTTGAGCTAAGGGTGGGGGATTCTTTTTGTTTTTGTTTTTTTTTACCCAAAATAAGGGGGGGGGGTCTAAATCTGCCCCTCATTTAAATTAACAATACAGCACAAAGAAAGAAGTCTTGTGGAGGCGCGGTGGCCTCATGGTTAGTGCGCTCGACTCTGGATCGGGTGGTCCAGGTCCGAGCCCGCGCCGGGGTCATTGTGATGTGTTCTTAGGCAAGACACTATACTCTCACAGTGCTTCTCTTCACCCAGGTGTACAAATGGGTACCAGCCAATGTGCTGGGGGTAGCCCTGCGATGGACTAGCTTCCCATACAGGGGGGAGTAGCAATACTCCTAGCTGCTTCATGCTAAGAAACCGGAGTTAAGCACTGGCCCCATGGGCCACTTGGGCCCGTATAAAGGCTTTACTTTTACTTTTTTACAAAGAAAGAGAGACCAACTTAATAATTCTACCGACTGCTTCGCATTAGAAGCCATTTTAAATATGTTGACTTCTCCCTATACTTCATCAAGCAAAAATTTCGCCTCTGTTCGATGTATCTGTTAGATGTATCAATAGAAGACATAGGCAAGGGTACGAGAAATCCAGTAGAAGAGGTACGGTGCTTGAGAACCCTAGCAATTTGTGACCACACAACAAGAAAACGAAGAAACAAAATAGGCGTCCAGGGGATGCATGAGCGGGCTTAATATAATTAAAATATAATAGAAATACTTATAAGGTAGGGTGAAGAAATAAAAAAAATTATTATGTGAATAATTAGCAAGACGAAAATGACCAAGGAATTTTTCCAACCAAAAAAACAGTTATTAATTTGCTGTCAGAGGCAGAAATGTAGGAAGGTCTTCAGTGTACGAAATCGGCGCAGTAGAATTCACCATGCTTAGACTTTTGATTTACGTAGCGTTATGATGAAAATTCTGAAAGTTGTACGTTTTGACAAAATCTTCTATTAAAAAGATACTTTCTGACATATCGTTATTTCAACATAATATTTACCGGGCCTTGGAATCGTCAAATTGTCACTGGGCCTCACTTGAAGTCCGGAAGTTCGGTTTTCACTTTGGGGCCATAATTCGCATCGCTTCGGTAAATCGAAGTTTTGTTAACCTCGATTGCTTATTCAGCCGCTTTTAAAGCTCTGATATCCATCTTTCCACCAGGGTATTTTGTAACATATTTTCTATAAAGTTTATACTCCAGAAGGTCCCATTCGATCGGAAAGGAACAGAAAATCCGACTTGAAATGTTAAATAGTCGACTGCGCCGACGCCATTAACAGCGTTTCTTGGGAAAACATCTAATTTACAACGCCGGAAAGAAGATCGGTCGGAAAATCGCCCAGTACAAGCAAAACTTCTCGAATTCGGTCTTTGCTATTTTTTTTTTCGTCGCTCAGAGAAATCTTCCCAAGTTCCTAGAAAAGACTAAATATAGATTATCCGCAGATCTGCGTTCAAAGAATTGTCCGAGAATTTTTTTACCCTTTTTTAAATTTTATTGACCGAGCGAAGGAGTAACTTCTTAATGGTTCTCTTTTAGATTCATTTGTGAAAATTTCCATTTAAGGGAAAAATTCCTATGTTAATTTTATACTGTTCTGTGAACATCACCTGCATAGGGGACATTTCCTCGTGAATATCCTCTGACTTTCGCCATAGCAGCACCAAAGGCAACTGTCGAACAAATTTTCAATCAGTAAACGTGGACGATCTGTTTTGCTAACAAATGCTTTCTGCTGGTGCGACGTATTTGTCCCCATGACATCTACATTAACATCGAAGCGGTTTTCTGTTTCTATGGCAGTGTTCGATCAAAACAAAGAAACACCTGTGCTGGGGAGTTACGCTCTCCATCGAGGCGAAATACATGAACCAATCAAAACTATCGATTTGTGTGTGAGCCATTCCCTTATAGGGGTCTGATTGTTTCTTTCTAAACCTATTTAGCATGTATAAGTCCGTCTGCGAAAATATTGATCAGAACAAAGAAAGGCTTTGAGCAGGTAATCGCTTCGTTCGAGGAATCTGTTGGGTTCAAGTGAATGCACCGAGCGGCCGCCACAAGGTTTGCCTTATGTTTCTTCCTTCTACTGCACTAAGCTCACCACTTGAGTTTCTACATCTCTTTAAGTCGTAGACCAAATCAGCAACGTAAAGAAAATAATGCTGCAGGCTTTCTCCTTCTGAAACGTCACGCGAAAATTCGAGACAGCGAGGCAGCTTTGTAAATATTCAGAAAACTTACGCAAAATAATTGCGGCGCTGTTAATTAAAGACGGTTGAAAAGTATAGTTGCAAATCCTTCGATCAGAGGTTTATAAAGAAGGAGATTACTGCCATCGCTGCGTCAAAGATGAATTTGTCGCAACGGTTCAAAATCAAATTTCGTGTTCGTCAGGTTGGATTAATAAAGCGCCACATTTCTTCATTAATATTTGTAAAATGATGGCTTCGTAACTGAAGCAGATCCCATTCATTTCATCGTTTTATGGCGTTTTAGTGTGGACAAGTGAAGACGCTGAAAAAATGATGGCGTAAGCAGAAATATTTTTCTTCGTTCTCGACGATATGCAAACGTAGGCGCTTTTGAAAACGTATTAGTGTGGTAAGGGCCTTATGAGGAAGTAAAGTCATCAAAATTTGACGGATATATGTGTCTGCATGTCTAAGCATGCATGCAAGCGTGATTTCTTTGTACCTGGAGCCTTTTAGGTTCTGAAGAATGGACCGAGCCATACAAGATATGCCTTTTATTCTTCCCTTTCACTGCACTAAGCTCACTTAGCTCTTGAGTCTCTACATCTCTTCATGCGCTAATTATAATAGATAGACTATTTATGCCGTTTTTAAGTGAGATATCGATTTTAGAAGTTTCGTTGTTAAACGTCTGATGCGCGCGAATGTTTTCCGAGTTGCGTGGTATTTTTCCGAGGCCTGATCTGAACTGCAGTTAGTTTTTACGCCTGTGCCAGCTTTTATTGACCACAAGTGAACTGACAAAAGTGATACCGATAAATTGAAAGAACGTTTTGTTGAAAGAGCATTTTGTCCGTAAAACTTGATATAGCCTACAGTTGCGATGCATATAAATAAATGAAAGACCTTCAATCAATTCAATCTCAATCTCCAGAGGGAAACAATGGCGTTCATAACAATTTTTTCTACTATTTCTTTGATCGTAAAATGAAATATCTGTATGACGATCTATTTATATCCTGCTTCCCGTTATGGACCGAACAGCTACCTTTCGGAGTCATTGAGTTGTAACAATAATTCAAATTGATATTCAAATTAGTACTTCTAGAAACAAAATATGCAAATATGTATTATTTCGAGGAAAACTATCAAATGTTTTGCTACCTGCAGCTGGCCTATAAGTGACGACAATATGTTCCTGGGTTAGGAAGTGGGAAGGGGTTGTTTTTTTGACTGCTAAACAGTGTTTGAGAGTCTTGGCAAAAACTTTTCCCGGCTATTACTGATAGAGTGACTTCTTGGATATACACGGAAAGGTCCGATGCTCGGGGTAAATCCCTTTGAAAAAGCAGCTGGCACAAGCCAATAAAAACAAATAGTT